CGGTGGAGGCCTGCACGCGACTCTCATTTCAGACAGGTGTGACCTGAGGCAGGTGGTGAGGACCGGGAGGCTGGGTCGCCCTTGTTGCTTTAAGCGCAGGGGAGAGGGATGCGTGGGCTCCAGACCCACCGAGGCCGCCCGGGGGCTCCTGCTCTCTGGCCTCCTGTTGGCCGGTGAGTGTGCCCCCAGGTGTTAGGACCAGGCCCCACTGACCACGGGCCACTGAGAGGCCGTACACATGGACACGGTGAGAACAGCACGGTGCTGAGTGTCCGTGAGCCCACAGGGACGCGCGGTGGCCTCACTGAGGTGACGGTGATGCTGTGCTCTGGGCAGAAGCTGGTACGGGTGGGGGATGCGTGCAGGAGAGATGCACTCGAGATGTGAGTGGTGTCTGGAGGCCAGGAGCCAGGGTGGCAGGGCCCGAGAGGGCAGAGGGGCCCCGGGGGACGGGCCGAGAGCCCGGAACGCCAGGCCTGGCCCAGCTCCACACGACACAGTGGATTCAAGTGCTCGGGCGATGGCCTCACGTGGGACCGGCTGACTTGGTTTCTGGTTGGCTGGTTGAGAGCCTGGCGTCCTGGGGGAAGCGGGGGGGACACAGCCGGCCTTGCGGGCCCTCCGGGGGCCACTCCTCGGGCCGAGGAGGCAGACACTGCATTCGGGCGCCTCTGCTGAGCCGGCCCTGGGCCGCCTGGCCTTCATCACAGTGAGGAGCTGGTGGACACAGAGTGGACGTTTCTTGGGAACTGCTTTTTAAAATAGCCCCTGCCGGCTTGTTTTTCATTTGCCTCTTTACCCAAGAAGCTGGTCTAAAAATAAACCTGTTATTCCGGGTTCTCGTTAATCAAGGTGCTCGGGCCAGGGGGGCTGCTGGCCGTTTCTCCCTGGTTTACGGGGCTTTCGGCAGCTCTTCACGCGCAGCCTGGCGAAGCGGAGGCGTTTCCTGGCTCGTTCCCAGGTGGCGCTTTCCCGGCCCTCCTTCCGAGGGCCATACACTGGCCATAAGCTGGTTTCCTTGCAGTGGGTTCCCCTGTGTTCAGTGGCCCCACTGGAGCCAGGACTAACCAGCTCCACTAGGACCCGCGGGCCGGGGCGGGGACAGTGGCCGAGACCAGGCCACCCCTGGGGTCCCTGCGCCTCCCCAGGGAAGCCCTGCTCCTCCCGGCCTCCGGGATAAAAATATTCCTGCTGGGACTCGCCCTCTCTATGCAAACAGGGCCTCGGAGCCGGCAGGTGGGGCCTGTTTAGGTTGGCACCTTCGCCCGAGGCCGGCCACCCACCCGGCCGCTGGGACCTCCAGAGTCTGGGGGAAGGTTGCTTCTCTAAGAAAGACCCAGAGCTCAGGGTCGGTGCCAACCAGGCTGCTCAGCAGCCCCCAGGCCAGCAGGGCCTCCTGGGCCACAGCAGGCATCGCCCAGGGGGCACTTCTAGACTCGGGGCTGATGGTGGCCAACTCCCAGGGACGGATGGAGACAGGCCTGCTCCGGGCAGTGTCTGCAGGAGAGATGCCATCCTCCCCGGGGAGGGGTTCCAGCAGCCGCCCGGCCCCTCGGGTCTGCAGAGCCGCTGCGCGGCCCATGTGGGCCCTTCTGTGAGCGTGCGTCCCGGAGCGCGGTGGCTGCTCCTGTGAACTTGGAGGGCTGTCATTTGGACTCGGAGCTGTAACATTAGCCGGTGGCTAAGCCGGTGTGTGCTTATTGTTTTCTTTAAGCCCTTTTGGAGATTTATTTCCTCCCAGGAAAGGCTGAATCAGATGTCCCATGGGCCGGTATTAGCAAGGCCACTTCCCTCCTCCCTGCCCCACGCTCCCTGGGGAAGGGGGGGGGGGCGCAGCCAGGCTAACTTCACTGTCCTGTCTGTTGGGGCTTAAATGCGGTGGGGCGGGGCTTAAATGCGGTGGGGCGGGGC